TAATGCTGTTCAGTTGCTTTGACACAATCTGTATTGTTAAAAGCGCTATATAAATAAAGGTGACTTGACTTGACTATTCTTTAATGCAATTGATTATGTACAATTGTCTGCTGTTTCCCTACATTATCAATTGCTAATGTCATGTCGCTCAAAATGGTTCTCTGTTTAATCTAGGAATTAGTTCATTTCATAAATCAATGCAATGCAATTCAATGCAAAATGGTTGAACTAGTTGTCACCGTGCATCAAGTGCACCAATATTTTCTATACATTTCTATTTGACTTATTTGTAAATGTGTCCTAAAAATGTACGCACGAGAATAAAGAACAGATGTCGTATTCACTGCATAAGCTCACTGGGATCAGTGTTGCCAACTAATTTTCAGGGGAAGTTGCTAAAGGAAGGTCGATTTGTTGCTAAAAGTTGCTAAATGACGTTGTGATGTCATTGCGTGATGACGTCATTACGTAATCAATTATTATCAAATTGAACAATTGCAAATAGCAGTAACTTAATTCACGTGATGTGTGTACTGCTAGGCATCTTTGGTTTCCTCTTTTTGTGAAATTTAGATGGAAAATGTGTGCCTTTTTATTGTTTGAGCCACTTATCAAAAGTTGCTAAAAGTAGCCAAATACAATTTAAAAATAGCTACATTTGTTGCTAGGTGCTTTTGGAAGAAAAAGTTGCTAGGGTAGTTTGAAAAGTTGCAAAATTTAGCAACAAAATTGCTAAGTTGGCAACACTGACTGGGATCTTAGATATATCTACGTTATTATAGCAACAGCCGTGTCAACATTAAAGGGTCCGACGTGACAACCAGACCACGTCACGTCTCCTAGCAACTCCCAAATAAACTCGGAAAAAGCTCGTCGGTGTCGCTGTTGAGGATTAATCAGACCAGACGCGACATTTAACGCGTTTTAAGCGCCTTAGTTTTATATACGACGATTATTTGATGCATACGTTTGTTTGTTATTTGTAAAGCGGAACCCGAGATCTGGAGTCCAGAGATCCAGCCGGACGCGTTCAGAGCAGAATAAACTGTATATAGTGTGTAGTCATTAGAATTAAAACCGCAGGATTATGTTCAAAAACACATTTCAGAGCGGCTTTCTGTCCATCCTCTACAGCATCGGGAGCAAACCCCTGCAGATATGGGACAAAAAGGTGAGCAGATGCTGGGAAAGATGCTAGATTGACTGATGGAGCTCAGATGCTGCTAATGCACTGCTAACTTACAGGAATTTCATATTTAGGTTATAATATTGCTTTATTTTACATTTAATCTGCATTAGGTGTGAAAAAGTATAGCGTCGGTAGCATTATACACATTCTGATCTATAATAGAGACATTATAATATAGATCAGTGGTTTTGGGCATCACCATAATAATGATACTGTTATAGCATTCTTTCAAGTACCTAAGCAGTAACTTATATGCTTTAGTGTTTATTAATAGTTTTAATTAGTTATTATTATTTTTCATTTCTTTTATTACTTATTATATTTTCTGTTTTCATTTTAATTTTAGTTGTTTTAGTACATCAACTTAAAATGAAAACGATAACTGTTTCCTTAGCAACTAGCCAAAATAAAAGTTTTTGTTTACATAATATATGTGTGTGTACTGCGTATATTTATCATGTATATATAAATACACACAAATGCATGTATATATTTAAGAAAAATATGTTACATTTATATATTAAATATATTTATATATGATATAAATTATATGAATAAATATATACATGTAAATAGGCTACATGTAAACATTTTCAAAAGATATGCTGTATGTGTGTGTATTTATATATACATAATAAATATAACACATATATTATGTAAACAAAAACTTTTATTTTGGATGCGATTAATCGAGATTAATCATTTGACAGCACTATAAATATATATATATATATATATATATATATATGTGTAT